AGACGGAAACACGCTGTCGCGAATCTGGCTTTACTTCTTAATCTGTGGCGCCACGGTATCGAAACACGGCATGACGGCTTTTGCGTTGCCGCATACGACGTGTCCACATACCAAATTCCTAGTGAATGTACTTCTGTTCCGCAGTATCCCCCCCCCCTTGTCTATTGGGAATGTCCTGTGTCAAACGAGCGAAACCTGGACCCTGATAATGCTGTACCGTAGTTTACGAGAGAGTCGCACGGCGCAAGGGATGTATGTATCCTCCTCCTCTGTGGTTAACAGCGAGCTTACTGAAGCGATCATGCGCGTGTTTGTGTTGACTGTGCGAAACATTGACGCTTCCTCGAGGTCCCCGGGGAAAGACTCAATGGATTCTATCCAGGGACTTGAGTACATGTTCCGTATACTTACAGCGTTTTCATCGGCAGCTGTTTCGTCTTATTTGCTGTTCTTGGGAAGGGAATGATGAGAGTTGGTCTCGTCGACGTTTACAGTGAGCATCTCACCTTCGAATTTTCGTGGCGTCCACGCGCTGTATGCTATATACACACATATATATATATATTAGCTTGAAAGGCTCGTTGCGTTATTTGTTCTAAACGACCCAAGCTTGCTCCATGCTTGCAGGACAATAGGATGAGTCGAATCGACAACTCTCAAAGGTATGTCGTGACCTGTCTACCATCGGAAGTGACGCTTTTGTCTCTACGGTTCCCGTATTGTGAAGCACTTTATCGCGCTTGGCCCTGAACTCCTTAAACTTAGCAACATTCTACTGTAGTTGTCAAGTCAAAAATTATGTCGTGAAAACTGTGTCCTCTTGCGGGTGCGCAGGGCTGTGCCAGGGTTCGATGACTCAGTCCATGCAGCTGCAGGGCATCGAGGGCCTGATGACACGCCAGCTATACTACAATCAAACTCGTTTCCTCACTTGCACGACTTCGGCACGGTGCCGAAGGTGGGTGGGCCACAGAACCGCAGCCGGCTAGAGCTTCGTGAAGAGGAAGCGGCAAAGCTAAAACATGCCAAGGGCTACGACAACAGGCTTATCAACCAGCAGCACGACAGCCGCATTTTTAAAGGTCAGTCGCCTGCCCTGCTCCCTCCCTCGTGCAATCTCAAGGATTGCGCGCCGTGCTGCGTATTCAAGATTTCCGCTGCCTGTACAGGGGGTCATTACCGCCCCCCCCCTGTTCCGCATGCAGGCCAACTGCCCTTCCTCTCTACTATGCCCTGAGCCCGGGCCAGCCTGACTCGAGTCTTAAGTTTCTGTTCGGTGGGGAGCACATTCCAGTGGCCGGCGTATTTATTTGCTTCGCATGGCGGTGTCTGGATGATGTTTGATAGGTGGAATTTCGACGATGAAGCAAACGGAGCATGAGCTTGGCCAGCGTGACCTCGACCGGCAGGATGCAGCACTCGGGGATGCCACAAAGGTGTACGGGGAAGAGCATGCCGGCTTCGACACTTGCTCACAGGTCAAGCTTGGCTTCTACAAGAATAACTATGGAACCGAGGGTGAGTTTGCACATGAATGGCTCATCACTGCCGGCAGGCTCTTTTCCTGCTTATCCGTTTTCGAAGCAGTTCAGGTGAATGCAGGGTCGAGAGTCTAGGTGTGAACTATACCCCTTGATGTCATCCTTAGCTCTCATACAATCTCATTTCTTAGATTTATGGAGTGTTCTTGCACAAGGGACATACGGACAGGTTGGCTGGGTCTGCATACCAGTGCTGTGAGTTTGTGCTTCTCAGAACAGCGACCGATCGTTTCCAGCTTTTATGTGGATGTTAAGGGGATCAGAACCCGAGTTTCGTGTTCTTTGGGGCAAATAGAAAAAGTGTTTTGTGTCACGGTTATTTTATGCACTGTGCAGGTGGGCAGCTGGGGCAAAAGCCGATAAAGGAATTGAAGGCCGATCAGAAGGGAGATAAAGTTGGTGAACACGATCATGTGAAGGGACGAATTAATCCCTTTGCTCGGGGATTTGCTAATAATCAGCTCCTATGGGTGACAAGGTAGAAAGCCCAGTGCACTACCACATGACAGGCAAAACAATGTTACTACTTCGGAGCCTTCTTCTGCTCGCCGCATCGTTTATGTTATTCTATCGCATTGCAAAAAAACTTTCTGACTCCCAAACGCTGGCAGCATACACGGCAAGCTGCTTGCTGCCTGTTGTAACATATACGTATCTTATACAATCAGAATGAGACAAAAAATTAGGTAATTTACCATAGCATCATACCTTGCCGGAATGTGAGGTAGCACAATGGAAGTTGTTGATAAGGTTGATATTCTTCTACAAGAGCAAGCAAGCACAACAAACTCGTCCTTGTGACCTATGATGTATTATCACACCTAGCTCATGAAATCTGAGCAACTGTGTGTGCGACACATGTCATTGCCTGTCATTTTTGGCAACTGGAGAAACTAGCAAATCAGATAAAATACCTATGCTTGTTAAGTGTCGAGTTTTATTCATCATCCTGTTTTATGACTTCCAGGCCGGCAATCAATTGACTCGGGGCCCGATTGGAAATAAGACAAAATCATATGAGAGCAGAGCAGGCTGAATTTATATTCAATCAATCAGGTGAGATTATGTGATGTCTGGTCTGGGCTCGTGTTTGGTATGACTCATTAACACCTAAAAGGCGAATTCGTCATCCTGAAAAGCTTATTAACTTTTTGCAGGTTATACGCGCTCGCTAAACCGTCCGTCACTAGAGCTAAGCATATGTGATTTCATCCCTTCTTCGCGCAAATTGAACGGATGTGACCTACGGGTTGTATACATTGTCGCATAATATGATTTCAATATGCCTACATCAAGCTATGAAAGCGTGCTATGGAGGTGGTAGCCACCATAAAATGAGCAGTAACCAGAGAAACCGGCTCCAGAGCTTCTAGCGAGGGCATGTCATCGGCGATATTCCGAGATCTAGGGTGCGTGAGACCTTGGAGTGGGTTGGGGGATGTGTCTAGATGATGGGGAATGTCACGGGCCGCACACAAGTGCCGCAAGTCGTGGGCATATCGGTGCCGGGCCATATGCCACCATACGAAATGAGCAGTGACCAGAGAAATTCCAGAGCTTCTGAGGCATATCATCGGCGAAATTCCGAGATCTAGGGTGCGTGAGACCTTGAAGTGGGTCGGGGGACGTGTCTAGATGATGGGGATATGTCATGGGCTGCATACAAGCGCCGCAAGTGAGAGGAATGTACACAATCGTGATGGGTATGCAAAAAAGCTGATAAACATACTGAATAAACCAATTCGCCTTTTAGGTGTTGAACCTTCATGAAACCCCCCGAAAGCCTAATAAAGAGTTAAAGACCTAGCTACAAGCGGTGATATATGTGAATTTTTTCCTGCCGCGCATGCTCACAGTATATGAGCTGATTTGTGATTTCGGCTTTCATACATGCCGATTTCCATCCGAATCTCACACCCACGTACCTCAAGCGGCCAAAATCAGTGGGGAAATGCGTGGAGAAGTTCCACGACCTAGCAGAATACCGTGTCTACATTAATGATTTTAAATCTAAATATTTTTTGGGCAAAAAATCGTGAATCTAAATGAAAACTTTTAACCTAAATGATTTCCCCTCATAGGCACCACAAAACAAATATGACAGCTAATTAGATAGTATGCCATGCACGTTAATGCCAACCAATTCAAACAACAAAGTGTTAAATAGATAAGTTGGATCTCGCCCCCGCGCTTGAAAACAAACAAAGTTGAGAAGAAAACCTCGGGACTGATCACCGACGCGTACACTCGGCGGCGGAAATGGGTGACTCTGACTGTGACTTGAGACACGATGGGGAGCTCTGCATTTGTGCAAATGGGCTCCGGTCGAATGCCGATGTGGGAGAACCACGCGTGGGGACATGAGCAGGAAGCGCGGTTGTTCCAGGCACAGTCCGGATAACTTAGACATAATTATTTCTTGCCGCCTCAGGTCACCTCCCCAAAGTGGTGGTCAGCAGAATGGAGGATATCCTGGTGAAAGCGCAGACTATCACGACAGGTGTATCTTTATTCCCAGGGGGGGACGACAAGAGCACCGCTCGTGCGGAATCCACGGCACGATCAGGTGTTGGATACACAAGTAAGCTGGTGATAATTGCAACTTCTGATTGTGCTGTGTCTACTCTAAATGGTCTCCCTTGCCGCCACAACGTTACACACGCACGCTTTTCTGGCTTGGACTGGGCCAAGTTTGTGGATCCTATGAAGACAGTGGCTGACTGGAACGTGCAGTATCCCCTTGGGCTCCACTTTCCTGATGCCCCTAACCTGGCAGCGGGCACATGCGCGCGACCTGTATCACCCACTTTTGAAGTTGCCGTCTGCAGCACAAAAAAGGAAGGGTAGGCCCAAGCTGCACAAGCGCAAGGCGGGCCTAGTTGTGATTGTTGGCAAAGGCGACGGCAAGAAGGAAGGCGGGTGTCCTAGAGAGGTTTGGAGGGAATAAGAGGACCTTCACTTGTTCAAAGTGCAAGTGCCCGGGACACCGTGCTTCAAAATGCCCTCGTGTAGTTTGAAAGTGTAGTTTGAAGACTGAGATGGATAGGTGTGACTTGGTAAGCTGCCAAGAATTTGCTGTGGCGCCTTATATTATGCATATTGCCTGGAACGCATTATCTGTATTAGTTCTGGGACATTATCTGTATCAGTTCGTTTCCGTGAACGACAGAGTAATTAGGTAAAAAGCACTACAGCCGAAGCCATATGTATGATATGTGTATCTTGTTCGTTCATTTTTGCATTCATTATTTCTGCATAATGTGTATCTGCATTCATTTTTGCATTCATTATGCATTCATCTTTGCATTCATTCTGCATTCATTTTTGCATGTATGTAGTGTTAGAAATCTTCGATGCAATCATCAGATGTCGGTACGGCATCGAAGCTGCGCGAAATCGCGATCTGTGTCATATAAAAACTGTACGAGTATCCCTGAATGCTCACCGATGGCATCAATAGCTTCGCGTAGCTCAGCGGGTAGAGCGACCGTGATTCAATCGGGAGGTCCTGAGTTCGAGTCTCAGCGTGGACGCATTTTACGCCAAACTGGAAAAAAAGGCTCGGGTCAGCTCAAAACAGTGAAAAATCCCATAACTATTCATAGATCCTAAGAGAATAGGCAGAATCGTTTATGGAAATCCCCCTTTCGATGGTAAGGATAAGGGGAAATCCTCGGCGGTTATGACCACCTTGGAAATGGGCCATAAAGCGGCTAACACTGCCCCTGGATTTTCAGGAACATGGATTCTTTCGTTGTCCCCCAAAAACCAAAAAAGATGGTTTGATAAAGGCTTCAAACTTGTTTTCGGATTCCCACATAACACTATCCCATTCAATCCACATGGCTATTGGACGGGTGATGATCCCTACGTTCTCCCAGGTGGTGGATGCTATAAAGATGACTTTTCGGATGTTGTCATTATAGCTATAGACAGTGCACCCAGTGATACCAAACCAGCCTTTGACTGGAGGCCTGCACAGAAAAAGATAGCCAGATGGTTCCTAAATGTCCTTCCCAAGTCCAAAGTCACGAAGAAGAGATTAGAATACACAGGAGTTAGCTCTGATATCTGGAAAGAAGTTATGAATGAAAGAGACAAGGCGTTTCCCTCTTCACTCTGCCCATGGCCCACTCAAGACCCCCCTTATCATCAGAGTGATATTGAGTCCTATTATGGTGGTCACCACGACACGACAATCACCAATGCAAACTCCAAGCCCTTCGTGAGCACCGTGAAATGGCCCAAAGTTCTTACACTCATGGGATACTTCCCTCCTCTTTTTGGTACTGTTCTCAACACGATAGGTGTTTCCCGTGGTAAGGTTAAACCACTCCTCAAGAAACTTTCAAGAATGTGCAAGCAACACACCAAAAACAGGCGAGATATGTTTCTGCCAAACATTTCCAGCATATTAAACACTGACCCACATACAGTTGACATCCCAAGCAATGAAACCCTGACAGAAACAGAAGCAGTTCAACAGTCAAACGATTTCCTTCAAACCCTCTTGTAATGATTTTCAAAGACTTGCAATTTAGGATGGGTTGGGAGCTGGGAGTGTAAACTCCCGGCCCCCAACGAGACTCCAAGGGGAGGCCGTCCCCCCCCTTCCCCCGCCCTCTCGCCACCTTCCTCAACGTCTTCAACACCCCTTAATTCTTCGACCTCCCTCCCCACCGTTCAGATTAAGCCACCCCTCCACTCACCCGGCCATGGCTGCTTCTCCATCTTCTAGAGTTTTTTATTGCCTAGCACTTAGCTTTGTCTCTAGATGTCACCCCGCCGAGAAGCGGGTCGAGCCCTTTTTGTGGGCGCGCTGTAGCAGAGGGAGTAGCCCCTGGTGTTTTCACTAGCCTGTCATGCAGGGTTACCGCAATCTCAGGACTTTGTCCCCTTTGCTAGCGTAAATGTTTTATTATTATTATTATTATTATTATTAGAGTAGGTAATCTCTTAGAGGCTCACAGATTCGGTGCCTGGTGTAAGGGCAAGATGGGCACGATGCGACCTGAGTTGATGACGTGGATTCGGGCGGCCACCTCGACAGCTACAGAAGTTGCAGGCTTCACGGCAGGTCCAACAGTTGCTGCCAGCACAACATCGACCCCATCAATAAGCGCGGCATGCACCACAACAGTGGCAGTTACAACAGTTGTACAAGTGTCGTACAGAAACAGCCGCAGACGTTGCCGTTTCAGGCACCCCTACTGCAGCTGCAGCTGTGATGGAGAGACATATTTATATATAATATCATAGATATATATATATATATATCTCTCTCTCTACTGTCTAAGCAAAACACAAGTGCGGACACTGTACCTCGAGAGTCTAAAAATCAGATAGACAAAATAACTCCCGTTGTTTTGGGGATCGGAGCCGGGAAGCATGTGACAGGTGGCTCTGCAGGTGACAGCCCGGCGAGGGGTGAAAATGAGGTACACCACTCCCCACCCTTAGGGGTGGGAAAGTTGGTCTCCGCATGACACCACCTCACCCCGAACGCGGGAGGTGAACTGCAGGGCCTGCGGGTACTCCCGGACAGGCGGCTAAGAAACAGGGAACATATCAACCCCCTATGGCCGGTCTGTGGCCGTACGATGAGGGCTGTGACCGAGGTTTGGCCGAGTGTGCTTTTGCTTGTTGGCCGAAACGAATTATGTAAAATTTTGAAAATTCCCCCGAAAATTTGCGATTTTTATGATATTGCCATACATAGAATTAAAATTTTACGCCTGCGGCGGGCAATTTTGGATTTTGGCCGGGATGGCCGAAATTTGGCCGATGGAATTTTTGAGTGTTGGCCGTACGACATAAATGTTTGATATGTTCCCTGCTAAGAAATGCAAGTGGTTTCAGCTTAACTCCTATACTAGAACTTACTCCCAAATGGGAGTACAAATTAGAGGGGATAATTCTCGTGGATGAAACGTAGAAATCGGGCCACGTTTGTGTGCATTTGGGATCACGGCACCGAACGTGCCATCGGAGGTATATTGGGATGGATACCGCGGATATATCCGATCACAAGTACATGTCATTCGGCTTTGTCCAGCTAAACATGAATATCTAGTTGTGAAATCACATATGATCGACCATATTTGAGACCATTCGATGTGCATTATGGTGTTAACAAACTACGCTATGGTTAACCCACCGTATCTAAGGCGTTCTTACGGTGGGTTACCCCACCTTGAGCCCAATAGACAATAAGGCGAGTATGTCTCAACCGAAGTCTTTACTTCATAAACATGACTGCGGCCACGGTTGCGCGAGGCGCACTGCGGGATGAGCACATCTAAGAGCAAGAAACCAACAGAGTACATATCTGATAACTTGCCCATACGTATACCGTTTCCTGTCTCAGGCGCGATCCAATATCAAGGTATGTCTTACGCAAGGTCGACTTTACACAAAACTTCCGAAAATATTTTTATTCGATAAACATGTCGCTCAAAGCAATCTAAACATATTGCGTACTCCGGGTATGCAATTGTCCCAGGCATTGAAAAGTTATGGTCGATACCGCTCAGTTATCTCCCATACTTAACCATACATAAGCGGAAACTTAAATCGCTTATATCTCACGATCTAGAAAATCAGAAGTTTTGTGTAAAGTCGACCTCGCGTAACCAAACCACGCCTTAAATCTGCGCAACCTACACCCTTAGTGGGAATCGAACCCACGAGTGCGAGGTTCATAGCCTAGCGCCGTACCAACTCGACCAACGCGTCGCGAATGTACTTTATGAAATTTATTTAGAAATTTATGATACAATATTCCACATTCCTGTGATGACATTACACAATCTATCACAAGGTCCAAGAAAAATTTCGCTTTGGCCAGCGGCCGTTCATTAGCTAATGAACGGTTCCCGCGGCCAAAGTGTCTAATTGTGAGTCGCGCTTTGGCCGAAGGCCGTTCATTAGCTAATGAACGGTTCCCGCAGCCAAAGTGTCTAATTGTGAGTCGCGCTTTGGCTGAAGGCCGTTCATTAGCTAATGAACGGTTCCCGCAGCCAAAGTGTCTAATTGTGAGTCGCGCTTTGGCCGAAGGCCGTTCATTAGCTAATGAACGGTTCCCGCAGCCAAAGAGTCTAATTGTGAGTCGCGTTTTGGCCAGAGGCCGTTCATTAGCTAATGAACGGTTCCCGCAGCCAAAGTGTCTGATTGTGAGTCGCGCTTTGGCCAGAGGCCGTTCATTAGCTAATGAACGGTTCCCGCAGCCAACGTGTCTAATTGTGAGTCGCGCTTTGGCCAGAGGCCGTTCATTAGCTAATGAACGGTATCCGCAGCCAAAGTGTATCTCGCAACCTTCATCGAAAGGAATAGAAAACATATTTTCGTCAAAATTAGCCGTCATTAGCTTATGAAGCCGTTTTTTACGTTCTAAAAATGATATAGACTTGCGAGTCAACCAAGAATTTCTATCTTACTGAATCGATCGATCCTCGATTTCAGCGCAAATGACACCAGGATATCTTAAAATCATATCCTTGATCTGAACAGACCGAATCAGAAAGCGACAGCGAATGTCATTTTTGATTGAAATTGACATCGATATTTGACATGTCATTTTTAGCCGCCAGAAATGACTTTTAATATTCTGCTAAAGTTACATCACTTTTTCAAAGTTCTTTCACACACACCCCTTTCACAGTTGACAGCCAATTTCTCTCATTTCGCAATGGCGACAGCCGAAACATTTCAAGCACTGAGGGATCAACATATTTTCCAGCTCTATCTTGGTAACAAGTGGAGCATTGTTAGAACCCTTGAAGCCGACGATCCTCCAGACACTTTGCAAATAGTGATTCACTCTGATGACCCTGCCGAGAAGAATGAAGAAATAATTTTCAGTTTTCCTCAGTTTACCTCTTCGACTGTAGTCGGGGGTAGCCTCCTTCCTGAGAAACGCGTAGCGTACAGTATCATTGAGAACCAGACTCCAATTCTGTATTTCGTCGCATTCAGAAACAGAAAGCTTACTGTGATCGAATTAGACAGCGCAAACTTTGAGGAAACCTTAAGCCTTCCAAAGCACACAAATCGGCTTTTGGCTTTTCAAAGTTTGAAAACTAGGGCAGCAGAAGAAAATAAAAGCAGAGAATTCTATCTAGCGAGCTATGTAAACCAGGCGTGGAAAGCGTCGATTACAGCTCCTTTCTGGCAAAGCAGGAGGCCAGCGCCAGTGATCGATGACCTCGGACTTGCTGGCGAGATACCTGTTGTAGAGGCTTCGGTACGTCCCTTTCATGCCCTGCGCCTGGACCGGGGCGGAAGGCGTTCATTAGCTAATGAACGCTTTCGGCCTCGAAACGCGCGCTCTGCGCCTGGACCGGGGCGGAAAGCGTTCATTAGCTAATGAACGCTTTCGGCCTCGAAACGCGCGCTCTGCGCCTGGACCGGGGCGGAAAGCGTTCATTAGCTAATGTACGCTTTCGGCCTCGAAACGCGCGCCCTGCGCCTGGACCGGGGCGGAAAGCGTTCATTAGCTAATGAACGCTTTCGGGCCCGAACCGCGCGCCCTGAG